CATTCACAGATTGTCCAGATGTTGGTTTGACGCCGAAGCCACAAGCTGCTGGCACAAGAGCGTCTTCCTGGATCAGTTATGGCTGGTTGGAGTCAGTTATCTGGAGACAATGCAGTAAATTTCACGCTCTCCTCTAGGATCTGTCCACTAGTGGTGATGAGAGCTTCCACTGGGGTATCAGTTCACAAGCTTTGAAGGGAGGAGTCTCAGAAAAACAGAGCAGACAAAGCTCCTGTTTCTGATGTAAGTTACCTCTCTGTCTGTGCTCAAGTGTAACAGGGCAGCCCGGTAGCTCAGTGGTTAGCGTCGCCAGCGCCAGAGACCTGGGTTCGATTCCACGCTCAGCCTGTGTGGAGTTTGCACATTCTCCCCGTGTCTGCGTGGGTTTCCTCTGGGTGCTTCGGTTTCCTCCCACAGCCCAGGGATATGTAGAGAGAGAGAAATCAGAGTTAACGTTTCGGGTCACCCTTCCTCAGAGCTGACAGTAGCTGGGAAATGTCGGTGTATATCCAGAAGGTAAGGTGGGTGTAGGGAATAGTGAATCATCGATTGGTGGGGATTCAGCCCTAAGAGAGAGAAGAGCAGTTGGACAGACGAACGAGTGGATAACGATCTGGCTAGGAAGGCGAATGGGGACCGTTAGGGGCTAACAATAGGTGGCCGACTATGTGATAAAATGGCTTAGGGTGTAAGGGGGCCGGCCGGGGTAAGGACATGGGAACAGCCCTAATATTGCTGAAGTCAATATTGAGACCAGGAGGCTATGGTTCCCAAATGGATGAGTTCTTCCATCTTGCTCTGAGCTTCGCTGGAGCGCCACAGTGAGCCCGAGGCAGAGGTGTTGGCCAGGGAACAGGGTGGTGTGCTCCCAGGCACCTGGAAGCTCAATGTATTGGGAGGAGAGTCAGCGATGATGGCAAACGATGATTTGGGTGAGGAGAGGGAGAGTTGAGATTAGTGACTGTCCTTCAGACTGTTCTTCAGTTCAGTTCTGGGCTCACAACGTTGGTGACCAGCCCCTTCTGAGTTTCTCCAGCACTCCCGATCTCCAGCGTCGGAATGCTCCTTTCCGACACAAGTGCGACGTTCTGTGACCTTCCCTTTTTTGTTTAATTAGCCTTCATACTTGGCTACATCAGTTCTCGGAGATCCTGCAAGGCCTGTGAGGAGATCGGTCTGCCCAGTGAGGATACTGTGGTTAGTAACACCTGTGATTATCAGCGAGATGTGGACATCGACCCAGATCCTGTCCTGTACTGGGGAGATCTCACAGCGATGCTCAAGAAATATATCAATCAGGAGGACATCACCAAGCACATCAGGTTGGGCCTGCCCTCTCTGTCTGTTAGCAAAGATCGCGCCGAATGTTACACCCATAGGGCGTTACGACACAGTCTGTGGGTGTCACAAAGTTGCAGCATTTGAGTATAAACTGAGGGGCGTGAGCGACAAGAGCCTTTGATGAGACATCTCTCATCAAATTTTGTCAGCTGATACCCCGAGGGGAAGGCTTTATCCCGATTAGTGGGTGGGTGGGAGGGGGGAAACGCGAGAGGAGGATGTGAAATCTGCAGCGCTGTCTTCAGAAAAGTTGTTTCACCCAGCCATAACTGACCCAGGAAGACATCCAGCTCCAGCAAAGTCAGGGGGTGGATGAACTGATCCCATTCCCTGCCGTACTCCTCCACTGGTCACTACAGAGTTCGGATTTTAACACAGCGAGTGATATTGCCCATTGAAACATGACTGTGTACAGCTCAGCATCAGAGATAAGTCAACCAGCTCCTTGAAACAACAAAGATTTAGTTCATGCAAACAAAGATCAACAAAAGGCTTAACCCGAGCAAACAGCTACAGGTACCATTCTCAAAAACAGGAGCTTAGAAACGGGGAGGGGGGGGGGGAAATGATCCAAATTTGGCGGGGTTTTCTATCTGGAAAGTACTTTGGGCACTCCACAGTTAAATTCATTTTAAAAAATAAAACATTCACAGATTGTCCAGATGTTGGTTTGACGCCGAAGCCACAAGCTGCTGGCACAAGAGCGTCTTCCTGGATCAGTTATGGCTGGTTGGAGTCAGTTATCTGGAGACAATGCAGTAAATTTCACGCTCTCCTCTAGGATCTGTCCACTAGTGGTGATGAGAGCTTCCACTGGGGTATCAGTTCACAAGCTTTGAAGGGAGGAGTCTCAGAAAAACAGAGCAGACAAAGCTCCTGTTTCTGATGTAAGTTACCTCTCTGTCTGTGCTCAAGTGTAACAGGGCAGCCCGGTAGCTCAGTGGTTAGCGTCGCCAGCGCCAGAGACCTGGGTTCGATTCCACGCTCAGCCTGTGTGGAGTTTGCACATTCTCCCCGTGTCTGCGTGGGTTTCCTCTGGGTGCTTCGGTTTCCTCCCACAGCCCAGGGATATGTAGAGAGAGAGAAATCAGAGTTAACGTTTCGGGTCACCCTTCCTCAGAGCTGACAGTAGCTGGGAAATGTCGGTGTATATCCAGAAGGTAAGGTGGGTGTAGGGAATAGTGAATCATCGATT